GCTGCAATAGTACAGTGAAATTATACTCCTACCCATCCGATAGATTTCAAAAATTTCGTAAACCTAATTTAATTTGTCAATACAAAAGGTACCAGAGACTTGCCTAATTTTATTTAGTATCTGAAAAAGCCAACGCTGATTTTTTAAATGCAGTACAAAGGGATCTCATTAAAACGAATTTTGTTATAACAAATTCCTTTCCTAGGTCCCTGCCCAATAGCCATAATGTTATTTTAGTTTTTCCATGACGATTACTAGTCTCAAAGCTCCATTGTAACGAGATTGTTATGTTATTGTACTATAAATGCTCTATACTTGACTTATTGATGAATCGCTTCTTATCCGCGGATGCTGAAAAGTGATGGTCATCACATATTGACTGTACTATACGAAGTACAATCACACACCCGAAAACCCCGCACAGCACAGAAGAAATACAGTTCAACCCGACTTTTATCAATTCATTAAGGCAACTAAAGCACAGCATTTACAGGGAGGGAAGTTGAAATGGCACAAATAATTACCTCCTGGAATCTCTCAAAAGATTGGTATAAAATTCTTGCATTTTTTGGCATACACATATTGCAAACAAATAATGCTTGCACCACGCTTCACAACAATCTATTCACCATGAACTTGACGAATGGGCGGAATATACTTAATCAAATCTGCCAACATTTATCAGCAGGTGAAAAGCAGAGTGCAACAATTACAAATTCAAATCTTTTCGATATATTTTCATAATCTTGGCAACAAAAATCACATCAACTCACGAACTTTCGCATCGGCACTTTTACCAGATTCTATCAGAGGATTCTCACATGTTCAAATTATATCCGGAAGACAATCTTACGGTTTGACCTATCAGGAAAATAAATGCGAAAAATGAATTTTTTCACGCGAAAAAATGGAAAGGAAGGAGACGGGCCACTTGCAATATCACGACCGCACAAAATGTTTCGTGCCAAATAAAAAATCAACACACTGCAAAATATCCTTCCGTTCATCGAATGAAATAGACTTGGTCTTTTTTTAACCCGATTTCGTCGCAACATGGAAGATATGCGCTGGAGCGGATTCATCCCCCGTGGTCGTGCTTGGGACCCTATACATGAAGCGAAAAAGAGTTCAACCAAATGAATACGCTTTAGATTCGAAATATCGGACCTTCTTGATAACGTCGTCCTGTCCAGGAGTTGTTGCTTCCAATCTGGAACAAATCCGAGCTTCGTGTTCACTTCTGATACGTTCACGAACTCGTCTCCGGCTTCAACCTTCGCTTGGAGAGCTAATTTTCTCGCGAGCATCTGTCGCTTCCACAGTGGAACCATTTTTCCAGTTGTATCGGCCTCTGGTACCTGCAACCAGCGAAAAATGGGTGGCACTTCAGCATGACTAGCAACAGCATTCTCAATAAGTACGTTAGTACAGCTGGACCTTTGCCAAGTCGAAAACCTCCTCAAGTCAAAAATTTTCCGTCGGAATCCCCCCAAAGACAATGTAATAAAAAACTTCCTTAACTTGAAGGCTTTCTCTCTCCGGAAGCCTTTTGGCTACACTGTATATCGAAACAGGAAAGAGAAGAGACATATAATATGTAGCTTGATGCTTTTCGAAAGAAAGTGAGAGACTTACCGGGCAAACTTTAAAA